TTTGAAAGAAAGCAATCTGTGCAGTGATGTGGAATTGCTAGAGTTAAGTGGTTTAAACTTTGATTTTGGATAATACTTAAAATATAACTTGTATCTATGTAAATGAATGTTTTTACATGATAGTTATAAGGATATAAATGGCCTTCTAAAAGCCTGGAATCCGATCGGTGACATGCTAATAAAATAGAAACTGAAAACTGTCACAATGGAAACTGTCTGATTTTAGTGTTGTGGAAATAGACTATTTTGGGGATGAGAACACTTTACTTGTCACGAATTTAGAGCATGATTACCTTCACATACATGTTATAGAAATGTGGTAAAAATTTCGGAGTCATTGGCTATAGATAAGGGGGTGAAAAGGGATCGGAAAAATAATTGGACAGTAAGGGAAATCTGAAAGGGATTGGAAAAATAATTGGATGGTAAGGGAAATCTGAAAACAGATTCTGTCCAATTTTGTATTTAATATGATTTCAGCCTTTACATGTACATTAGTCATCTCTTGGGCCTAGAAAATAGATTCTAAGGGTACTAGGTTGTCAACAACAATTAGATGACATTGACGTTCATAATTTGACTCGAGAAATAGCGAGATTTATTGGGATAAGTTTGTAATGCCATCGATAACTTGAAACGATGATTCCGTCTAAATTATTTTGGTGAGAATGGATGTATTTTGCGATTTTGTGCGTTAAGGTTATTAAATTGAGGATTCTCTTTAATATTAAATGGTAATACAGGTGATTTTCCCACTTCGAGTCAAAAAGGATATTGATCTAATCTCCATAGGAGCTTGCACACACAAAGGTGAAAGGTAAGTGAAAATCCATTTGCAACTACAATGCAAGAACCTAGTATATGTGACATAGTAATGTTGAAATATCTACATAACTTTGATAAGAGGCTTATAACACATCATATGGTGGTTACGATCATTGAGTATGAGGTTGCGTAACCTATTGACATCGATTTTCATTAAATACGTCATTTATGAGCATTTTCATATGCATGCACGACATGTGACATGGTTGAAAATCCTGCATGCAAAACATGATTTCAAAGTGAGTTTCATTATAAATGTTTTATTGACCACAACTAAGGCACCGAGGCATGTGAGGCATGCTTATGTGATATGTTTGGCATTGTGGGTGTTACTTCCTGGGTAATTGCAAAGGTAGATAGGGGATGGGCTTTTGGTGATCACGGGAGGGCGGACTACTCGACTGTGCCCTTATGATATTATGATTATTGGCGCTGCCGGGTGGGAGACTTCTTAGGTGATCATAGGGGTAGTCAGGTGATGGGCCTCTAGTGGTCACGAGAGGATGGTCCACTCGTCGGTGTCGATTTCATATTGACCATTTGATTATTGATATTATGCAGAGCTCTATCCGGTGTATAGTAGGTGGGTCAAGGGCCCAATGAAATGAAAGATTTCAAGTGAAATGATTTCTAGTCGACTCTGACGAATATTGAAACATGATATTTTTATCATGATATTTAAAGTAAATGGCATGATCTCATATGTCGTTATTACTCATGTTCAGGACATGCATGATTTTGCTTACTAAGTATTGGCTTATGTAGTTCTTGTATTGTAGGCGAGCATGGAACTACATAGAGAGCATGGCTAGCTGTGGAGCTCCTACAGGATTCCAGAGTTCGATGTACATGGATGACGACGTTTAGGGTTATTTTGTAGGCTGTTATCTGTTGGGTTATATTTTGGAATCCTATATAGTGTTATTTTGAAATGACCTGTAGACATGTTTATAAGCTCGGAATATATATGTTGAATTATGATAATATGATTTTGGATTTCGATATGTTATATGATCGTGTCACAGGTGATTAGAAGTTAACAAACTGAAAAAAAATATATATATGTAAAATTCTATATCTGGATTGTATATAGATATCAATTTTAATTTGGGAGCGTGACATATATTTTGATTGTTATCAATGTAAGAAAAAAAAAGTTTACGAAATTGAATTAAAAAAATGGATAATGCTATTTAGCCCTAATAAGTAATAATCTAAGCATCGTCTATGAAAAATGACATCAATTTTACATGTCCATTAAATAAAAATCTTCACTCCCACATACACAATTGAGGTTCAGCCCTTGTTTGACAACATTTAAAACAAAATTATTTTTTTCTTAAAGTTAAATTTAACCACATATTCTTACAATAAATTAATTTGCAAGTAAATTCAAAAAAATTTCTCCAAAAAAATTACTATTCCATAACTCATTTTCTAAAAAAAAATTCTTTTTAATGGACAGATTGCTAAACAAATATATATTAGGTTCTGTTTCGAAGAAATAAATCAAAAATCCAAAATAATCCAATAATCAATTTGAGCAGAAAGCTCAATTATATGAGTGAAGGCCAATATGGACTTGAATATGGCCCCTAAAACATGCCCACGTGGCTAGTCATGTCAAAGTGGGTCCACCCACCATGGCCTCTGGTTATGGTTACATCCGATGGCTCTCTGCCCCAGGTTCCCTCTCTTTTATCTACCTCTATATCTCTCTTATCTATTCCACCGGTTCATGACCCGATTCCGGCAGCAGTCATTTTCAGACCCGAACCGGTTTGTTTTTTCTCCATTTATATATACCCCACATTTCATACTCTTTAACCTCCATGTACAGATTTCACTAGGTTGCATGTTTGTTTGAGACGACATAAGTCAGGCCACTAAAAGTGCAGAAAGCTACCTAATCTTGCTAGTACAAAACTACCTCCCTATCAATTTTGTTAAAGCATATTTTCACTTATTTGGAGTGGTTTTGAACTTTTGACCATTCTTTTGAAAGGGTATTTGCAAATGAATAGAGGGGCACTACCAGAGATGATACACTGCCTCACTATTCCGGCAAATATATTCGCCGGAAACAATGGTGGTGCTGGTATGGAAATGAGCGTACTCCAGCTACAACAGATGAATATGAAGTGGAAACAACAATCAGACACTCATCTGAATGAAGATTACCAGTTGAGTGTGTTTTCTGAACCAGCTGTGCAAGATCAACAGTTTAAAGGTTTGGTTGAGGGTGATCAAGGTATTGGAGAACTCGTGGCTCAGGCGATGAAACCGGATCCGGGTATAGAAGATGGAAGGAATGAATTTGGTAGAGCTGAGAATAGCTTGAATTATGCTAGTTTTGTATATGGGAATGGGTCTGAGTTTGAAATGAACTATGCGATTCCAAGAACCGCCAGCTGCCCACCAGCAGTGGCGGAGGCAATGGCAGAGGCGGCAGCAGTTGCCAAGAAAGAAAAGGAGGCGGCCCTGCAGGAAAAGTTTTGCTCTGCAGCTGGAAGAGAGAGTTTCAAGAAGAGGAAGTCCTATAAGACTAGGGACCTTAAGGTGCATAATGCATATCCCATAGTTCTCTCTTTTTTAATTGCTTACCGTAACTTCTATCATTAAGCGTGTATAGCTACTTAATTTGGAAATAAGTGCGTAATCATAAACGTTTGGAACATAATCAGGTTGTTGCTGAAGAACAAAACAGAGAGAAAAAGGCTAAGGGATGTGTAGAAGAGGAGGATTCTAAGATCACAGAGCAAAATAGCAAGAGCAAGAGCACCACCACCAGTAGTAACAACAACAAAGAAATTTCCGCCAATAATTCGAATGGGAATTCAAAGCTCTCTCAGATTCCAAAGCCTGATTACATCCACGTCCGAGCGCGACGTGGGCAAGCCACTGACAGCCATAGCTTGGCAGAAAGAGTAAGTTCAACTCCAACTGCTATGTTTTGAGAATATTTTCTATTTACTTATTGTGCATTCTAATCAGTAAACGAAGTTTACTGTGCAGGTAAGGAGAGAAAAAATTAGTGAGAAGATGAAGTACCTGCAAGGTCTAGTACCTGGGTGCAGCAAGATCACTGGGAAAGCTGGAATGCTCGACGAAATTATCAACTACGTCCAATCTCTTCAAAGACAAGTAGAGGTACGACTTTCAACAATCATATTTCTCCGTATGTTCATGCATCTTCACAAATATTGAAATTAGTGAATCCATCATTGTGACAGTTTCTATCCATGAAACTCGCTGCAATCAATCCAAGCCTTGAATTTGACATTGAAAACTTCATAGCTAAGGAGGTAAGAACAATTTTCAGTATTGTGCTAGCATCATATACCTAAAATAGGTGCTCTGAAGCGATTCTTACATTTTTTGCCTGCAGATGTTTCCAGCTAATACATCTAAATTTCCCACAATTGGGGTGTCGTCAGACGTCATTAATCCTTCTCACCTTCAGTTCAACTCATTATCACAAGGAATTTCATGTTACGGTCTAGAAATGGGTGTAAATCCTCCTGATGTAATGCTTCGAAGAACCATCAGTGCTCCGGTATCAATGCCAGAGACACTTCTTGAATCATTCTATTTAAATGTAAGTACTTCTTCATCTCCATTATCAGGTAATTAAACTTTATATCCTCTGACCAATAATTCTTATAAACAATTCAAAATACAGCAAATTCAGCATTCAACCCTGGATCCTGAGTTACAAAATCTCTATGGCATGGAGTTTCATCAAGGAAAATCAACTTCATTCAATACTCAGCCATTTACAGGTATACAGAACAAACATGTCCTGTCAAATGTTAGTATCTGCTTTTGATAACTTAGTAATGTTACTAATACAAAATGATAGGAGACGATTGAACCCCACAAAAGTTAATGATATCGCTTGGGAGTAATATGGTCCTCCTCTTTAATTTATATTGAGGAAGTTGCTTATTAGGTATCTTTCTTTGTCTCTCTTCCACTTAAAATGAAACAAATGATTTAAGCCATCTTACTTTTAAATGTCAATAATTCCTAATTCAAAGAAAAGATATACATGTTCACACAAAGCATATGGCTCAGACAGGAAATAGAGCAATCATTTAGCATAAAATTGCCATTTCCTAACTTAAATTGTATCCTGGTAGTCACTTCATAAACAAGTCAATCTCAAATATGTTTAACTTAGTTTAGGCCCTAAAATCATGCTTCAGTCATAAATGTCTTTGAATTAACATCCTATACAATAATTTATTGGAGTTTGAAACTAAGAAGGCTCGATATTGCAGGTTTCATGGAAGCAGGTGATGTCAAGCTCGAGATGTGAATTGCTACCAGGATCGTGCAACCTTTAATGAGTCAAATCTAAATGTTACTGATACCAATTCCTTTCCAATTTCCAACTATATATCGTATATACAGTTGCAGTGTAGAAATAAATATAAGTGATGATAATGTAATTGCCTTTTGACCACAAATTTTTCTTCTGTGTACGTAGCAACTGGTAAAGCATCACAAGACGATAGTGCATAAGAAAGTGTAAATGGCTAAAAGGTAGAAGTTCAGGCAGGTTGCAAAAATCAACCAAGATAAAACTGTAAGGAAATGAAACATGGCGTAAAACTGTAAATCCTGTTTTGATATACATTCTTTTTAAAACACAGAATAAATAAGATAATAAATGCACTACACAGCTAAGTTCAACTTGTATATGTGCTGTAAATTACTTACAGATAATTTGGCATAAAACTACCAAAATTAATTTTTCAAAAAAAACCGAAATAAGACAAATGGATCACGCGTCTAGTGTTACAAATATCCTGTCTATTAAATATGAACGTCGTTTTACAGCATGACACGCTGGAGGGTTGTATTTTGAACATAATAATACAGTACATGACCTCGACCTACAGAATAATCATTTAATGCAAAATAAAGGTAATAAATCTGATTCTAAAAACACTGATTAACTATTTAGTCATCCCTGCTTCTAAAGGGAGCTTTTTGGGCTTTATAATCAATAAAGATGCAGCACATGGCCTATGCTTTTCACGTTAGTTTCACGTAATAAGACCACACGCAGTCTTTCTCTTTCAAGCCATTTGTAAAAGGCCAAAGGTGGACCAAGCCTCATCCAAAAGCCAGATCTCCTTGATTCTCTTTGACGCAATGACTGGTGTGGGAAAACTTGCAATTTGTAATACTGTGTCCACTCACCTGTATGAATTTTTATGTTTATTAATACTTAAAATATCTTACTTTTGGCATATTACATTTCAGACATAAAGCTAAAACCTAAAAGATTCTTCAAGCTTTGTGGATGCAGTATATTTGTCAAGCTGATATTTTCCTGAAAGCAATCCATATCAGGTCATATACTTAGCCCTTCACACCTGCTCTGTTGTTTTTCTAAATTTTATCATAGTCGATTCAAAACTTCCTATCTACCTTTTTGCCAGAATAAAATATGGGAAATGTGAGTAACTAATGAATGGCATGTCCTACCCAAAACAGATTTAAGTTAGAAGTGGTCCGGGGCAGCTGACCAGAAACAGTAGCAACAAAACTGTGCAAAATGAAATCTGGGGAATGAAACTAAAGGGTTTCCAGAACTTTGAGGAATGTAGATACAAAAAACCAAAATGAATTATATGATCTAACATAGAATCTCACATTCAGATCCAGTGGATTTGCGTTATTCTGTTAGCGATCAATCTTTTGTTGAATGCTCTGTCAAAGATGGATATTTGATTGATTCTATATAAACTTGTAAACTGAAGAAGGAAAGAGTTAAATTGATCAGATGAAGCAGAAGCATGCCTAATACTTGATCCGGCAGCCAATTTTACCGTAAAATAGTTAATAAAAAGTGGTATAGATCATTGGATCTATGATGCATGCACCAAAAGAAAAATGTATATCTGCATAAATGATGCGGGCTTGTATCCCTTATTCCCGAAGCAAAATATTATGTATGGAAGTCATAGTTTCCTTTAGAATCAGAGTACAAAAGGCCGATGCTGGAAATTAGGATGATTTTCTCAAGAGGAAACCGGGGTCAACTGGCTCTCTCCTAATTACAAAAAGGAGAAACATTTTCTGTGTGTGTGTTATGTGTGATTTCACATATATAAAATAGCGTTTTATTTCATATGTTGAATTAGTTAAGTCACAACAAGGATAATGCATCTTTTTTATACATTATAAGTGTAATATAAATTTTTAAATGACTCAACGGAGTCGAGATTTTTGCATTCACAAGCGTTGAAACTTCATCGATTCCTCATTGAAATGAGAAACAATAACATATTCGATAACACCACGAGTATGTGCATCATTGACGGAGTAAGTACTCGTAATGGCATATCCTTTGAATAGGTGAAGTAACTAGGTGAATCATACAAATCAACTATTAGAAGTGTGATACAAATACACATCCTCAAGTGAATTGGGCCATTAGCAATTTTAATCAATTAAGTTACCTCTATTGGCACAGGTTGTTTCTTGGTCGAACCAATCAAAATGGTGTTGATATAATTATCCCAAACAATGTTTTAACATCAACGCCCGAATTTACTAGGTATCGAAACCCAACAACATCCATATGCATACAATAGAGTTGCAGTGCCTCACAAATTCGAACATCAATCAGCACACACACAAAGCTGATACGCATAAATGTAAAACCATATTACACCTACGAGTAGACGATCTACTAATAATATACACTCACATTCAATAAAACGCACCTTCATTTAAACAGTGGCAACTAAGAGATACATGCTGAAATGTTCATCTTTTTGCTTGTTCCACCATAACACGGATTCTTCCCCAGTCTCTTTCATTGAATAAAATGGATACTTTTATCACAAGATTGGCTTGGAAATCAGGAACTGAATCTAGTTAGATTGTTGATATTATACCTTTTCCAGGAACAACAATGCTTGGTCCAATTTTACAATTGTGGAAGCAATATTCATTGAAGCCTCCCTGCAGTATACTGAAGTTAAAACAATCAAAGATATGAGTCGAGCATAGAAACGTACTGGAGCATGTGCGATTAGATATCTGTGCCCTTGAACACATGTTAGAGAGAACCTCTGGGTCAAGCTTCATCCCATGGTGCCCATAACAACAACAGGTGCCTTCAACCCTTTTACTTCCTTGCAAATTGCCTTTCCTGCATCTCCTTCCACAATCCTGTCCATAGTGCTCACCTATTTTCACAAAAATGAACAACATATAATAGATTGTTTACATCGTTTTTATTCTATCCAAGTAGTATTATAGGAAAAAAAAACATTGATTTTATAATAACATAAAAGATTGGTTTTAGTTACACACAATTATTCAAGTTCACGATATTGGAAGAAAGTATCAATTTAACATTTCATCAAAAAGAAACTCTGCATCGAAGTATGATAAATGAATTTAAGAATGAGTATAGAAATACAAGAATAAGAATCACACACACTAGTGAACTTGAGACAGACTGTTATCTCAAAATATTGAGGATAAGGCTTGATAAGATGTTAAGGTCATTTAAGATACAAGAATTTTTATGAAAGCCTTTCATTTGCTTCTCTTCCATGGAAGTTTGATTTTCCCCTCTTTATATTCAGAAAACAACTCTATCTTTTTTTTTTCTTTTGGAAGATACAGGAGCTAAACAATCAACCTATTGATATTTGGAAGAATCTGCATGAATCGGATTTTTTGAGGAATGTATGAAGAGAGAATTTGATTAATTGAGTTTTTAGGCCCTGGAGGACTAACAGTAAGATGTTTAGGTCATTTAAGAAGATATAACAAGTTTTCATTTTCTCCCAACAGAATTATAAGCTAGTATATTTGGCAGAATTTTCTCAAGAACATTTTTTAAATGGGTGAAACTTGATCGGGAGAAACACGCATCCGTTACGATGCTACTTCTTTATATATAACCAGAGAGAGAAGCGAGTTTGATAATTAAAATATCAATAACTACTCATGACCTTACAAGTATCATCTCTGACAATTACAACGTGTAAAAAAATAAAGAAGAAAGGAACGTGAAAGTGCACTTGCAGATCCCTAGAATTTATGGGAGGACCAATAACGTCATTTTTGAAATCGTTTCATCCAGGAATGTCTGAATTCTCTCTTATTTTAAGCACAGTATTGCAATGAATTATGTAGGAATATTCGAAATGATAATATAATTATCAAAACCTAATTCATATTAAAAACTCATAAAAACAACAATAGACGGTTAAAAATTAAAAGTAAATTAAATGTGGAGAACGGAATAGCTTTACCGGACGCGGCTTGGACAGTAACGGTGAGGTGGCAGAAGTGGCTGATGACCCAATTGTAGTGCGATTAATATCTCACGGTCCCTCTCTCCAGTACATTTCGAATATAATTGGAATCAGCAATGGTGATTACCATTATTTTCTTATTAAAATTCAAAATATGACCGTTATCCGTCACATCAAACCATCAAATTTAAATTTCTATATCTTGTTTAGAACTCGTAACGACTATATTTTTCATTCTCATTTTTTAAAAAATAAAAAAACAAACGGGGGCTAATATATAAAAAGAGAGATAATATTACACGTAAATTCCAAACTTTTTTTTTTCCCTTTTTTTAACCACACATTCTTAGAAAACACTAATCTGAAAATTAAAAGGACCAATAATGGGAGATAAATTTAGCCTTGTTTGATCATGTTTTTTTAAAATACATTTGTATCTTTTTTTTTTCAATCGCACATTCTTTAATAAAAAATACTACATGTAAACTTATTATTTTTTTTAACCACACATTCTCCATTAATATATTATTTCAAAATGCATTATTAACTAAATAATAGGGTTCAAAAAAGGCTTAATTTTATATGAGTAAGATAATTTTCGGAGTGGCGAAAACTCCCTTGGTCTTATTTTTATGGCAGATATTTTGTAATTTAGTCCTTGTTAGATTTTTTTGGAAAATTTAATTCCCTTTTTAATCATATATTCTTCAAAAATAAAGTAATTTTATGCCTTTTTCATTACTTTTTAATCGTATATTCAAAAAAATAAAGAAATAAAAAATTCAAATAGTGATAATAACGAAGTGAATATGAGCTGAGGCAACCATTCCCATCTTTCACACTGTCGAGTATTTTTATCGTCTTATCTCACTCTCATACCTAGTTAAAGAGGGTTGGGTTTTGCGGGGTGATGGCACACAAGTCCCTAGCCTCGTTTATTGTTCCTCTTTCTTTTCTTTTTTTAATATGGGTAATTGGCGCAAAACGTCCTTACCTTTCAAGTCTATTGTGGAAAATATCCCTACCTTTCATTTTTTGGCATTTTTGCCCTCATTTCAACCTTTCTTTGCGCTGGACGTCCTTCCGTCCATATTCCGTTAGTTTTTCCGTTAATTAAAGGGTAATTGGTACAAAACGTCCCTACCTTTCAAGTCTATTGTGGAAAACGTCCCTACCTTTCATTTTTTGGCATTTTTGCCCTCATTTCAACCTTTCTTTGCGTTGGACGTCCTTCCGTCCATATTCCGTCAGTTTTTCCGTTAATTAAATACAAAAATACCTTTTTCTTTCCATAAACAAGGATAAAATTGTCCTCACCCACTTCACCCCTTTTTCCCGCCATCAACTTAGTCCATAAGTAACAGTAGCAGCGACATGAATCTGAAAATACTTTAAATGATTAAGTTAAATAAAGAAAAAATATCGTGAACACATTATATTTCACAATTCCACAACTACTGTTGCTGTCATCTTGTGTCACTGGAAAATTTTAAAAAGACATATTAAATGGGTAGTCAATTTATAATGAGTCAATTTAAAATGAGCCATTCATCTTCTCCATTGAGCCAAAAAGAGCCATTCACCATTTTGGCTCATTATAAATTGACTACCCATTTAATATGTCTTTTTAAAATTTTCCAGTGACACAAGATGACAGCAACAGTAGTTGTG